ATAAGACTAAAGTTTTAACAATCATTTATTTCAAGATTAAAATTTATTATTATTTTAGATCAATAAATTACTAAAATAAGAATGATAATAAAGAAAAATAAATGCTTTATTGTGAAATTGAATTGATTCATTTTTTTATAATTTATATATTAAATCATTATATTTTAAATAAAAATAAATTTCATTAATATAATTTAAATTTTAAAAAATATTTTTTATTTAAATATATTTTTAAATTAATTATTTAGATATAAAATACATTAATAATTTTATTAATTTTTAATCAAATTAAATTTAGCTCGTTAACTCGTTAGCTTAATATAGTATCAGATTAAAAATTATAATTTATTTTAAAATATAGATCAGATTCAACTATCAATCTTTTTTTACTTACTTTTTGTAGGATAAAAGTGAACTGTATGTGATCATATAAAAAAACATTTATCATTTAAAAAATAACAATAATTATATTTGATAACAATTTGATTATTTTATTTTGTTTTTAAAAACATTTAAAAATTTAATTTGAAACTTATTTTAGATAAGAAAAACGTGGAAGATGATGAAAAGTTTGGATGAATTGAAATAATTAATGAAATTATCGGTGGAGAGGATGATATAATCAATGACAGTCAAAAATATATTTTATTAGTTTTTAAAAACTATAAAATAAAAATCAATTGTAAATTTTATTTTAATAAATTAATTATGAAATAAATTTTTATATTTAAAAAAAATAAAAATTATTTTTTTAAATAGTAAACAATCAGTAAAATTTCGTGTTTTAGTTTTAAAAATTAAAAACAAAAAAAAATTTAAAATTATTTTAACAAATTTTGTAGGTTTTAAAAGTTAAAAAATAAAAAATTATTTTATGTTTTAAAAACAATAAATAAATAAACTCTAACTCGAATAAAAAGCATCCACAGAATAAAGAATGAAGAGATGTGAAAATTTTGGTAAAGATATATCACAATTAATTATTTTAACAAAATATATAGAAAATATAATTACATACATAATTATATGACCACAATAGATTAGGGTTGATTTTTCTTTGGTTGAATTTTATATAATAATAACAACGTTAATAAATAACATGATTATGTATTGTTGTTAATTGATTTAATTATTACTATAATATATATATATATATATATATATATATATAAACAATAAATTTATTTGAATAAATTATTTTCACTAATTTGCTTATTTTGTCTTGTCATATAAAAAGATATATTATAATAAAATCTAAGTTAAAAATATAACATAATAAATTATTTTAAATCTGTTAAAATTTCTTACTTATAATCAGTCAAAACATTGTCACAATATTAGATGCTACCCAACTGTCTTCTACATCATTAACTAAGTCAATGGTGAAGTCTTAGTTGGACCTACACCATCATCAAAGTCTTGTATTCGTTAATTTTTATTATTTGTATTCATCATTTTATATTCTAGTTAGAACATCTTTAATAAAAATAAATCGGATGAGCTATTTTTCATTTAAAAAGTATAAATATAAATTTATTATATGATATTAGATCATTTATGATTCATTTTGTTATAGTAGAAAAATAATTATCTTTTATTATTTAATTTTTAAAATTATTTGATGAAATAATTAACAAAATTTTAAACAACTTATTATATTACTTAAAACTTCAAAAACAGTTAATTATTTAACATTTAAATAAACAGCTTCAAATTCAAGATACTGTAATATAATACATTAGAATTATTCTTAAGATAAAATAAAAAATTCAATCCCTTTTCCATGTAATCATTATTTTTCTTATTTCTTAATGTAAGTATTTCTCCTATATAAAATCAAATAATTTTAATTAATTACTTATTCAATCAAATTTTTTTCTTCTCTCTACAATTGCGGTTGGATTCTCACCTGTAAATAGATCTTCCTCTATTTATATTAATTTTTTTTTTAATATTTAAATTCCTTATAAAAATTAAATATTAGTGACTAGGAGTTCTGATATACAATTGGCTGCAGCATAATGGCATCCTCAAACCTCAACCCATCTAACAAAACATTTTGCATTGAACTTCCCAAATATAAAATAATTATATTTGTTTCATTTCATTTTATCTATTAAAGTATCACAAATTGGAATCTTTGATGATGTGGTCTTTTATATTTACTCTTCTTTTGTTTTACTTAAAAATACATTAAGAAAAAGAAAAGTGAAGTTTAATAGCACAACAGGTCAACTTGTTTTCTTTTACTTCATCCTGTCTATAGTAAAAAAAATGGGGTGGACAGATTGATCGTTAACAATTTTTATTTATTAATTAATATTTTTATTAAAAAAATTTAAAAAATATTATATTTATATACACAACTAATTAATTATAATTAATAATTTAAATTTAATTATTTAATTTTTTTATACTTTAAATTATAATATTATAATATATTTATATATTTTAATAATATAAAAAAATTATAATAATTTTAATTATAATTTTTTTATTTTAATTCTAATATATAAATATTTTTTTTAAATGTGTTAACTCGTCTATTCTCATTCTCCTTTTTAATATGTCGAGTTGATAAGTTAGTGGATAAAAATAAGATAATCGCTAAAATCATCCACTACCAAGTCTTTTTAAATTAATCCGTTAAATTTAACCAATTTTATCATCAAAACATATAATACTATTATTAACATTCTTTATATATATATATATATATATATATATATATATATATATATATATATATATAATCATTCTCTTATATTTTGGCATATATATTATTAAATACTTTAGTATTAAATACTTTAGTATTTGGCATATATATTATTAAATACTTTAGTGATTAGATTATGATAAATGTTTTTGGCATATATGTGTGCACTTAAAATGTAATTAATATCAAATACATGTATTTAACAGAGTTATAATTCATAATAGATAAGTTTTATTTAAAATTAAGACCTTATACCATAATTTAAATTATGTTTGACAACATCAGTGTAAACTATGATATTTAGATATTGATAAAATCATATATATTATCAGGATTGTGGAAATAAAATAATATATTATTAATAAATAATAAATAAATATAAAAAAATAAAGAATAAAATTATAAATATATAACTAAATATATTAAATAATTATTAAATTTAAGGAAGTTAAAATCATAAATTATATAAAAATTAAAAAATTAAAAAAAATTATAAATATAAATAAATATATTAAATATTTATTAAATTTAAAGAAGTAAAATAATAAATTAACTCTCAAACAAGAAGATTCGTCTATATCATCCTATCAAGGTTGCTGTTACCCTTTGTTGGTGCAGTTATCTCTTGATTTCATCCAACTACTTTGACGGTTCAGTTATTGTGTTGCTTGCCATGTGCCTCTTTCAACAATAAATTATTCATTTATTTTTATGGCTCAAATTAATCTTTACAAGACAATTAAAACATTAATTTTTTATTGATAAAAATTTAAATACATATATTATACATATTATATATAAATTATTCAAAATTATAAATCAAATTTGAATAAAAAATACTTAAATAGAATTATTTTACATTTATTTATATTTACTATTTATACATAAAATTTTATAATAAAAATTAAATTTATTTAATATATTATAATTTTTTTCTTTGTTCATATATTTTCTTATTGTTTTTATTATTTTTCTCTTACTCTATCGTATTTTTTACCTAATAATAATAGATCAAAATTTGATAGTAAATTATTATTATTATTATTAAAAAATAAAAATATTAAAATGACCTAAAAATATTATAATTTAATATATTATATTTAAAAAAAAGATTACAAATATTATTATTATGTTATAATTATTAAAAAAAATTAAACATTCATTTTAAAATATTCTTTTAATACATATTTTTTAAAATTACTTAATCTAATTAATTATTATACCTGAAAATTATTATAAATAGATATAATTATTAAATAAAAATATATTTAATTTATAAATATTTGATATTCTTTAATTAGATGAGTAATTATTTATCATAATAAAATAATTTTAAATTAATTATTTATGTCATTATAAATAAAATTATTTATCATCATAAATAAAATTATTTATTATTATCATAATTTTAAATAATTAGTTAGTATTTTTTTAGTTTTAATATTAATTTTTAAAATATTTGTTTTAACATATTTTTATTAAATTTTAATATGGAGAAGGGAAAAACAAGAAAAGTAAAATAGAAAAAGAAAATGAAAATGAAAAAAAATATTAAATTTATAAAAAAAAACAATACATAATTCATACAAAATTATTTAAATAAATAAATTCATATATTTCTTTTTCCCCGCCTCTCACAAATCTTTTAACTTTTTCGACCTTCAAATATTTTTTTCAACCTCGTGGAACGGGCTTTCTAGAACTTTACCAACTGTGACATTTATAATCCACGGCTATAATACCCAGATTGCAATATACCAAGATATTTTCAACGATATTTTCAACAATACACCGTTTCTAAATGTATGTAGAGAAGTATACAGAATGAAAAGCCTTAAGATCAATAATTTAATTCAAACACATGAAGTTAAAAAAAAAATAAAAATCCTTCAGTCACAGATACTTAAAAGGGGGCATAAACACAACTGTCATATCATATGCATTATGCCTTTAGGGTATATGACATGTTTAAAAGGGGAGATAAACACTCCATTCAATAGCCATTAGAATCAACACAGAAGCCAGTGAAAAGTACTTGAAACACATCCATTTAACTAAATCCTTGACGCTATTGCTAAGGCTGCACTTGGATGTAACCTTCAGTCAGGAATAGTCAAACTATCCAAGATCAGCCCAGCACAAAGGATACACCATGTGTGAACAAAAGAAGGTATAATTGACAGCCACAACTTATAAAGTCTGCACCATTATCAGCATTCTCAATTAGAGTGTTAAAATCTAATGCCACTAAACAGGTGAAGGTGCTGATGAATAATAACAAAAATCAGACTTCATCCTCGTGAAGAAGCATATTTGGAATGCCCTTCGTGACGGGAAAGCGTCGACCAGTCTCAGGGCAAACAAGAGCCCCTTCCTCAAGGTGGAGTTCCAAGAGTGCATGGTGAAAATTGTTCAGAAATTCATCAGAATCCAGCATGGAAGGATCGGCCTCCTCAGGTAGTTCATTGTATCCCATGGCCCGTGAGGCATCAACAAAAGCCTTCCAATCAACCTTCTCAAACATTTTTTTCAGAAAGTCGCCATTCATTTCCACCGTTTTTTCCACCACTTTCTCTGCTTCAATGCGTAATGGAAATCCATTCACCACACCCTTTATGTTCGATGACAGCATGTTATGTGTTAGCAGTCTCATCTTTACTAACAAGTCACAATATCAGCTGCAGCACTTAAAACTTAGCCCTACAAGTTCAAAATACAGATGAACACAATCAAACATCATTCAAAATATATATAAACACAATCAAACATCATTCAAAATATATATAAACACAATCAAACATCATCCCTAAAAATTCCAATGAACCAAGTTTGTGTCAGGTTTCAGTTTACTATTGTTTTACACCAATCCAATTGATTACTTATACTGCACTTCAAAAGAAACAAGCTAATACATCCAAAGCATTTTATAATCCAATTCTAGCTATATCTTCCTCTCACTCAACAGATAAATTAAAATACTAACACACAATTATATTGTCATTATAGTTCCATACTCCGTTTTCTCCCAAAATCACTTCGAAAGTATTCACAATCCGATCACACTTCACAGTCCACGCAGCAACAGACAGCGTACCTCATGGAACTCTTTAAGAAGGTGTATAAACAGCATAAACAACAAACCTATGATGCAGACTTTAATCAAACAGAATTGGTGGAGTTCAGGATACAGAATACACAATTGGTTCAGCACACACTCACCTTACACAGCTTAGTTTAAAAGACTGAGGACTTGTACGTGGTAAAATTAGACAACACGACAAGTATCAAAACAAAGCGTGGGACACACCAAATCACGCCATCCACTAACTTTCAAGTTCCAACAAATCCTTAAGCAATTAATTTCAATTGACAAAAAGAAAAACCACCAATTTGGGTATTTTTGCCCTTTTATTTTTTTATTAATTCATGCAGCAAACTTTGAACATTAATGCCCGCAGCCCTACACAGAGAAAGAGATTCGGCGGCGCGAGACGGGCAAGCGAAAGAGATTACCTTACAGCGACGCTCCGGCGAGCGTTGGCGAGCTGCAAAATCACAACACTGTGCAGTGCGCTCTGTGCGGCAAGGTGGTGTGAAAAGTGGTGATGAGGTAGTCTAGGTTTTTAAAGGATTGTTATGACATGGCAATAGCATTTCTTATTTTATATTATATTTAAATAGTTTAGTTGTTATCTTAATAAATATGTTGATTTTTATTTTTAAATTTGAGTTATTTTTGTCTTTTATAAATAATTGAATTTATTATGGTATATGATCTTAAACTGCTTTTTTTTAACTCATCTTATTAAATACTGGTATATTGTGAAACTTCTTTTACTAAATTTATATAAATATAATATTTTTAGTTAGTAAAAATATACATGAAATTCATTTATTAATTTTTGAAAATATAAAATATTTATTTTTACTATTAATTTGTTATCATATTAATTAATTTCATGAGAGTAATATAGTCTTCTGTTCAAAAATTATTTTAAATGAAAAAAAAAGTATGATTCTCATGGGAATATATAGTACTTTTCCATCCGTATAAAAATTATTTTGTGAGAAAACACTAAAAAAATATTTCTCATTGACATTATTTTTGATAATGCTATTTTTAAGAAATTAAATCAAACACGAAAAATGTTCTCCCAACTGGTAACTGATAACTACAAATTTATCTTATATGAAATGTTTTCAAAATATAAGAATATTTTACTTGAATCAAAATATATTGTTTATTGTTATTAAATCATTAAATATGATAAATAATTAAGATATATAGTAAAAGTATGGCGTTATTTTTTTATTTGTCAAAAAAAAATATTACAAGTAATCAAATTTTAGTCATTTTTAATAAATAATACGATTTTAGACATTAATAAACCTCTCATATATGTATCTGACACTCCTTAATTTTTATTTTGTTTTTTTATCTATTTATACTTTGATAGAAACTGATGATTAGAAGGTTGAGGTCTGTTTTTTATTTATTATCTATTTTATTCTATTGGATCAACGTAGGTTATTCTACAGGGACTTTAGCATCACAAATAATATTAAAGATTATAATTTTTTTAAGGACAAATATGATACTTTATATATATAACTATGTCAATTATTGATCGTTTTGTATAATTTGTTTGGCATTTTCTTCTTTGTGATTTAGTAGAAAATATTCGATTTAATTATGTTATTTGATTTTTTTAGTTAATTTTTTCATTTTCAAAAATAAAATAATGCATAAAAGGTTAACTAGAAGTATTAAATATATTTTTTCAATAATTAAAGATGAAATATATTAAAAGAATAGTTTAAAAACTATCCTGCTATTCGCATATATTTACATATGTTAAGTTCATTTTTGTTATTGTAAGTTTTTCTTTATTTATTTTCGTCTCTTTGTAATTTTTAAAAAATATTAATATTTTTTTTATGATGTCAAACACTTTATAAAAACATTAATTTGTTGAGATACTGTAGGTCATATCAGTAAAAATAACGTTTGAACAACCTTATTATGTTTCATATCATAGTGTTGTGTAAGAAATAATGTCAAATTATATCATTATTAAAATGAATGAATTAAGACATTTAGAAAAAAGTTATCAATACATGAAACAAAATGATAAGAATGAAATAAAAACGTATTAATTAAAAATATAGTGAAAAATATTGACTAATAGAGCATAAAAGGTATATTGTATAATTTTGTTATCATTCTTCTATAATAAACCATGTAAATTATTTAGAGTTTTTTTATTAAAATAATATTAAATACATGTTAATTAATGATAATATAAGATATATCCTACATTATCATTAATTAACATATATTTAATTTTATTTTAATAAAAAAACTCTAAATAATTTATATGATTTATTATTTTTTAATATAAGAACCAATTCTACCTTTAAGATTAACTTAGCTTTTTTATAACTTATTTTATGATTAGTTATTTTCATAATTATTACTTTCATAATAATATACTTATAGAAAATAAGTATAATTTTATTCTCGTAAAAGTATTTCATATAATAAAAAAAATTAATTTATACAAATACTAAATATTAGCATAACCTAAACTTTGAAAATGAATCCACTAATACCTAAAAAAAAAAGTTATTCATGAAGTTGTACTGTTAAGTTATTGAAAATCGAGCTCAACTAATTTAAACATCAAGATAATTAAAAGTTAATTTTTTTTTACTACAAATTTAACAATTCTTTATTTAACTTATTCAGCATGTGTTAAATATAAAAGCAAATGAAATATGCACAACACAATGAGAATAAACTTCATAATAATGGTTGGGGATGATGTACTGGTATACATTGATTTTATAATATGGACTTACCAGGGGCAATAAAACATGTCATGCATGAACATGATCGAAGATTACCTAAAAACTAAGAAGAAAGACATATTAAACTTTCAACATTTGTCTTAATTTACTAGTTACCAAATTAGAATGATTTGGAATTTTTTTTAATACTAATCTCATATCTCAACCATGATTTTGTATCTAATGATTATTAAAACGAACCTTAATTTTATATATAATGATTGATAAAATAAAGTAAAATCAAGAACGAATTCAGTGCGCTCTTGCGAGGCCATATAAATTAAAGAACCCGATTCACTATTCAGCCCAATAAAAATGGAAAACGAATCAGCGAAGAGGCCACTGAGGTATTGCGTCAACTCCACTCGACACCAACAGTGTGAAGCGAGAATAGCCCTTAGCTGGAGCTGGGGAACCTCGTCTCTTCTCGCTCTCGTCCCCGCCGGAGATCCACCATGGACGGCAACCCCACCACCACTTCTTCCTCCTCATTACCTCCCGAGAATTTCAATTTCTCGCCCGATAACCCCTCCCCAATCACCCTCACTGCGAATCAGGTCAACAACTGTGCTCAAGCCCTCAACCTTTTGAAGGAGAAACTCCACGCTCCTCACGCCATCACTCAGGAGTTCGAACACCTGCAGGTTCGCACCCTAACCTAATTCATTATTCTCATATCAAACATACTTAGATTCAACTCACCGAGTTGTGTTGCGGTTTCAGGCGAACAGAATAACGCCGAGTGAGATGAGGAGAAGATGCAGCGTCGCTCTTGACGCTGTCAATTCGATCAAGAACCGATACACGGACGTGTTGCCATGTATATTTATTACCAAGTGTTTATTGAATTATTGTGTTGTTTTCGGGGAAATAAATTGAACTTTGTTACTTATTGTTTCAGTTGACGAAAACAGGGTTGTTCTAAAATCTAGTACAGATTATAGACCTGCAGCACAGGGGTATATCAATGCAAGCTTGGTCTCGGTATAACTTCTTCTGGGTTTTTATTTAATGTGCTTTTAATGTAATAACTGTTAGAGGGATTAAATAGATAGTTAATTTGACTTGCATGTCCCTCTTCATTGTATTATGTAGACCTCTTCCCCAGGCAATGTGTCACAGTTTGTAGCGACACAAGGTCCACTTCCACATACTTATGAGGATTTCTGGGAGATGATTATTCAATATCGCTGCCCTGCGATTATCATGCTTACTAGGTTGGTGGATAATTACAAGGTATATGTCACTTGGGCCTTCCTAGCATACTCACTAACATGTTAAGTTTTTTTCTTCCTCGTTGTATTCTTTTAATTACATTTTTTTTTTTTTTACTTTTTCTATAGATGAAGTGTGGAGACTATTTTCAAGCGGAGGATGGACCTAGAGAAGTTGGTAATATTTCTGTTATTGGTAAATGGATGAACACTACTGAAACTTCATTGGTGCTGCGCCTTTTAGAGGTGAACCATAGAGAGGTTAGATGATTTTCCACTTGTAATGGTTGTGACGGTTAGGTTACATATCTTTCTCTACAGACTGGACGGGTAATATTTTGTAGATGGGAGGACTTGAGATTCGATAGAGGCCTCTTCTTCTTGAAAACTTTATTATTCCATCTAATTCTGGGGTTTTGTTTCTAATTGTATTGCTATAGTACATCCGAGCCCACTCTAAACCCTAGGATATCGGAACTTTTCTTAGATACCCTGCACTTTATTTCCTAAACTGAATTCTTTCCTTAATAATAATATATCTCAACTATTCAACACTGAGAGGCCACCCCAAATTCAACTATGCAAGTTTAATAAAATGATGGACTGTGCTCATACTTTCCAGGGGAGGTGTGGTTCTAGAACTAGATTATGCTTAAAACAGTTGACCCTTACTCTTTCTTATGGAATTCTAGGGTATTTTTTTGGGTACTCCAGTTCAAGTATGTTAAGAAATATGATGGGTACTTTTATCAACATGAAAGAAATGACACCTACAAATTGATCACTTCTAATTACAATAACACATAGCTTTGCAAAGTTTTCTGGTTGAGTTACTAGTTATTCTGCATATAAAATCTTCCATAAATAGGTGATTTGAATTAAACTGAGGAAGGAAAAATACCATAAGTATGATGAATAAAACTTGTTTTGGTTTGTTAGTTTTTTCTAATTTGGAGAATTTTTTTTCTCCTGTCCTTAGTTGTATATTCTTCTATTTTTTTCAAAGAAAAATTCTTCTTCGCTCTGATAACCTTTTATCTTCTTGTTTTTTAAATGTTCTGCATACCAAGTGAAGTTGGGTGGACGGTATCTATTTTGTTTTATTAATATTTCATTTTGTGGTCTTAAGATGGTCATTTGGTGTTGAGTTAGCCAGACACAGGAAACTTGAATTAAACTATTGATCAAGAGCCTACTGGAATTGATCGATGGAAAACTATTTTTTTGATTGTTGACTTGGATTTTAGATTGATGGGGGCAATTGCATCTGTATGCATATCAGCTGAAATATTATTCATCTCAAGCTATATATATCTGGGGTTTTCCTTATGGCAAGATATCTAAAAGAAAAAAGAATCATAATATTTTGTTTTAATTTTGGAAGGCTCTCAAAATTTCTCTCCATCTTCAAGGTGTATAGCATCCTGTTTCATGCAATCTGTTGTTGCAGGTAGAAGATGCTCCAATATCTGTTTTGCATATTCAGTATCCCGAATGGCCTGACCATGGAGTTCCCAAAGATACATTAGCTGTGCGTGAAATTTGGAAAAGATTATGCCATTTACCGCCAAACCTTGGCCCAATAGTGGTCCACTGCAGGTTCATCTCTTTCCTTCTTTTTCATGTTTATTCAATTTATGGCAGTCATGACAGTAAATCGCATGCACATATGTCTGAGACAAACTCTCTCACTCAGTGCAGGTATTGGTAGAACTGGAACATACTGCACAATTCACAACACAATTCAGAGAATACTTGCTGGTGATATGTCTGCTGTAGATATTGCTAACACAATAGCTGTGTTCAGGTCTCAGCGTATCGGAATGGTTCAGACACAGGTATCAAGATTTGATGATTTAATATTGAAGTATGAATAATGAATGTACTGATTTTGCATGAAATGCCACAGATTTAGGTGGAATGCTTGTTAGTTAAGATCCATTTCTTAACTAAATAAAAAGACATGAGTTTTTAAAATATAAGAACAGTGATGTATGCTATATACTGTACTGTTTGATGAAGAAGAAGGCAGGTTGTTGCAACGAACTAGGTTAATTGTTTAGGCAAGGGTGTACAAATTATATGTTTGAACGAACCCCATTCTCCTTCAGTGGAGAATATATCGATTCCTTTATGTCGACACAAAAGGAGTACTGTGTTGTTCAGATAGGAACTCCTAATAATAGTACTATTTGATGGTAATGAAGGCAGATTGTTGCAAGGAACTAAGTTAGATAGATAGGTAGAGAAGGATGTATCCATACTCACTGCAGAGGAACTATGTCCTCCTTTTAAAGTATCCATCCCTATTTTTTGTTTACATGAGAAGTGGTCTATCAACTTGTTTATTACTAGGATTGATGCTTCTATTACTATTTTTAATGTGGAACATAAAGTAATTGAGGCAAAAAATAAATAATATTGACGAGGCTCTCCGAACCACAAGTACTCTAAGAAACAGTAAGGGGCACGACTTGCTTTCAAACTAAGAAGAAAAAAAGGGAAATGTTAGATTAATTTTCAAGGTCTTGCACAGGCTGAGAAAAAACTTTCTTAATCAATAAAAAAAAAAAAAACTGGTGTTGAATGGACAATGGAGATTGAAGCATGACAATTTTGATACGGTTGGCAACTATCAACAACTAATGTACTGTTTTAGAGTTCAGGTTATGACAATTTTATGCATTTTCCACCAAAAACTGCCATTGATCTAATGGAATTGAGTCCGTCTTCTGAGCCTAATCCCCCAAGTGATTCTTCATGACACCATTGTATGCAGTACTTCTAGCACAAATATTATGTGCTAATTTTTTTTTTTTTTTTAAATCTTTGAGCTTAGGGGCATTGGAAATTTATTTATGAGTAAATTACTCTAATTTCCAATCTGAAATTAAATTATCTGTTTCAAATTCTTATATTAATACCCGCTACTAAAGTTTTGTATAGACTTCTAACAGATAAAAAATCAAAGATAAGGAAATTTCGTGTCATTTTTAAAAACAAGACGAGAAGTTAGTGTAATTGAGGAAAGGAATATTACATTGTAGCCTTATTTCCAGCAGGCTTTTTGGTGACGGTGGCCTCAGATTGCCATATACTTGGAATCGGTCCTAGTTGGGAGCTTATTGTCCAGATCTGGCTCCCTATCCTAACTGGATATTCCTTCCCTCCATCTCTAATTTTTAAGCATATAACATAAATATCATTATTATTATCTGCCCCTTTTCTTCTATACACTTAATAGTTGAAGTTTTTGGTGACTCTGCAATTTATTAGGATCAGTACATATTCTGCTATAAAGCTATCATAGATGAACTGGAAGACCTTGTATCTCAGCAGTAGAAGGGTACGTACTTCTGTTCCCTTTTGTAGTTTTTCAATTAGCATTAATCGTTTAGCTCCTGGATAGGATTTGTATGTCAGTTTTTCTGTATTCTTTAATTCTGCTATCATTTGTCAAGTTTATTCTTTTGGTAGCTTGACGAATTGTTGTCTTATGTGTATGCTGTAAATCCAGTGCTGGAAGGATGTTAAGCTGTTTGCCTCATTTTGAAGCTAACTTCCAATTCTTCGTCCACTTATTTGGTTCGTGCAATGCTTCTGTCTCACCGTAGCTGACTCTGAAACTTCAGCATTTTATGAATTTGACTGTTATTCTGTAGCTTTTCATATATTATTGGCAGGCAGGGGAAAGCTGATAGATTTTAGCATCCGTTTGATTAATAATTATTAATGACTGCAATAATCAAAAGTCCATTGCCCCTCTTTGTTTTTCCTTTTCCGTTTTACTCTGAAGAAATATCACAAGCTTTATTGCATAGGGCTAATAACAGCTGCATCCCTACTAAAATTAAATAACCCCATGTTATGTGCTTAAGCCTCAAGGTTAATCAACTTGAACCAAGATCACAGAAAATAACAAATTTATCGGGCAATGTATGGGTACGTATTTTAATATTTAGTTTAAGTTAAAAAAAAGAAATTGAAAAATATTAGAAAAATAAGCTAGCTATTCATTGACTGTGTAAAATATAATCACAAACTTTATGTATTATAGTTTGATTTTTTATATTTTTTTTTACAATTTTTTGTATTTGAAGTCCTATAAACGTTTGATTTCTGATTTACATTGATAGTGAATGACTATTAAATTCAAAATATTATTATTAGTGAAAGGGTTAAGTGTATTTTTAGTCATTGTATTTTTATGTGAAATTAGAAATAGTCTTTTTGTCAAAGATCATATAAAAATAATTCTTATACTTTTGAAATGATTAGAATATGTTCCTATTTTAAATGGCGTTAAATATATGGTGACTTGGCTAATAGAGATAATATGATCTATTTATTATTTGACACGTGTTATTCTTAAAAAAAAATAGAAATTATTCAGTAGAGATTATAATTTAAAAAAAAAAACAAAATTAAAAAGTAGAAGTTTTTTTTTTTTTCACGTATCAAAACTCTTCCCACATATCAAAATTCTTTGGTTCTCGTTACAATCACTTTTCATTTTTTTTTCCTTATCACATATACTTTTCTTTCTCTCTTTTTTTTCTCATCACACACCAAAAGTCTCTTCTTTCTTCCCTTTTATTTGTAAAGGTTGAATGAAGTTAAAGTGATTTTAAAGTTTGATGGTTCCATCGGTTTGTTGTGGTTCAATTAATAGTGCGACGGTGGTGCACAATGATAGTGTATGACGGTGATATACATAGTTAGGGTTTTCATTTCGAAAATTAAGATGTGTTTTTTCATTTGCAAAATTAAATAATCTGCAAAACTAAATATTTAATTTTTTTTTAAATGGTTTTTAAATGACTTTTAAATATTATGAACGCTGATTTAAATGATTTTTAAAAATTTGAAACCTTTTAATTTTATTTTTTTAAATAATTACATGTGTCAAATAATGAAGGAGTTTTATTATTTCGTTAGGACCGGTCAACGTATATTTAATGTCGTTTTAAATAGGGACTTATTTCAATAATTTCCAAAGTATAGGGATCAATTTTATGATTTTTATGTAAACTATGACAGATGGATTATTTTCAATTTTACATGAAAATATTGGGACTAAAAACTTACTTAATGAAATTAGAAGTTCTAAAGTAAAAAAGTGTTTATAAATATCCATATTAGCAATGAATGCAAATTCCATTTTGTTATATCAACAAATAACTATATTTATACATTGAATGAGTATCATTTAATTAAAATAAATTATAAATATAAATAATTAGTTTAAGATTAAAAGCTTATGGACCATTTGGGAACATAGCCTAGTTAAGTACTAATACGATAAATAGTTAATTGTAAATAATTATTGAATTGGGGTTTGTTTTTAAGGATTATTAAGATAAAAATGATAAAAAAAGAGCATATGGCGATATAAAGGTAAGAACAAAAGAGAGATTTTGAGAATAAAAAAAATATTTTTTTTGAATGAATATTTTAATAGCTAGATGAATCAATTCAGTCATAGGTTATTTGAGTTACAAAAAATAAGATTAAATTATTTTTTTGAGTTATACGTTATTTTTATAAATTGTCTTTATTAAAACAAAATAAATTAAAAATAGTTTGTAAACATTTTAAACACTTATTTGGAGTAAATTATTTACAACTTCTTTGAACTTGTGATATAAGAACATTTGTGTAACGATTTTAAATAATTTACAAAAATTGCTCTAAAATTAGTATGAGTTTTTTTTTTTTTTTTTTTTTTTTTTTTTTTAAGTATTTTAGCAAGGTTTCTATGATAATTTATGAAAATAGTATAAAACTTATACGAAAATAATATAATTATGAAAAATACACTTTAGCTGAGTCCGAAGCTTTAGCTTTTTGGATAATTATGAATTTCGCGGAACTCAATGCTATTCTTAAGCTTTCATCTATAGGCTTTTTTTCATAAATAATACTGTTTTCAAAAATATTTTTCAAAATAGCACCTCTGCAACTTTATTTACACAACTAGCACTGTTTACTGTTCACGTAATAAAATAATATTATTTTACGCAACGATTTACTGTTCACGTATTAAAATATTATTATTTCGCGCAATGAACTCTCGCTCAAGCGAAGAAACCCTTCACTTGAGCGATGAAATCCGTAAGAACACAGTTATCTCTGGTCAACTATCGCTCAAGCGACAGATATTTCGCTTGAGCGATAAGTGATTAAATATGTGGTCACCCAAGTTGCGTTATGTGGCTAACTGCGTTGGACGTTTAGCCAAATAATGCAACTTGGGTCACCACATATTTCAATCACTTTTCGCTCAAGCTAAATATCCGTCGCTTGAGCGAGAGTTGACCCGAGACTTTAGATAGCGGTTCTAGAACTAACCGCAATTAAAAATATATTTTAGATAGCGGTTAACGTGGAACCACTATTATATGTTCACTTCTAAGAGCGGTTAAAATATTAACCGCTCTTAAAAGTGAGACAAATAGTTGGACCGTGGGCAACTCTCGCTCAAGCGAGACACTCATCGCTTGAGCGAATAAATTGATAATCGATTATAACGTGAAATAATCGATCATAGTTTTTAAAAATAATTGACATATAATAGCGGTTCCATGTTAATCGCTATGTAAAATATACTTTTAATAGCGGTTAGTTCTAGAACCGCTATCTAAGGTCACTCAAGCGAAAAACACATCGCTTGAGCGAGGACACCTGGAAAAATGGGTGATTCTCGGGTTCTGTCTCGCTCAAGCGACGTTATGAACGCTTGAGCGACAAGTGATTCTAATATGTGGTGAACCAAGTTATATTATTTGGCTACCTGCGTTTGACGTTTCATCATTCGGTCAAAACTCGCTCAAGCGACAAAGTTATCGCTTGAGCGATGAAGCCTTCAAACAAGGGGGACTCTCGGGTTCTGTCTCGCTCAAGCGACGGGTACTTTCGCTTGAGCGATAAGTGATTGAAATATGTGGTGACCCAAGTTGCATTATGTGGCTAACTGCGTTGGACGTTTAGCTTGGTCAATTTTAGCTCAAGCGAGAAAACCATCGCTTGAGCGAGAAAACCTGCAACTATTTACAATGCTGAGTCACCCACCCAAGTCAGGATTCCCATGTCTTTCTGATGCACACAAGTAAAGAATCCAATGCTGAGTTACCCACCTAAGTTAGGATTCCAATCTTGGATTCCCTGCATTGGGTTAGACAAAAGCGGAAGAATCCAAACATATTTAAAGAGATGTTGACCCACCCACTTTGCTTGGGTTTTGTGTGCGTCGAAACCATGTGAGGGAGCATTGGATTCAAAACAATGGACTTCATTATAAATAGACTACTTTCATTCTTTGAAGTTCTCACATTGCACACTCCTAAATCTCTGAAGCTATTTGCATTATTTCTTCTTCTTACCTTTAGTCTTCTTTGTGTTCCACACTCCTAAAATGGGTGTAGTGTCTACTATTGTCCACTATGATGGTTTCATGAACCCATGTCCCATGGAGGGAGTGACCTTCAATACTGGGACTGCAAAACTTGTTCCTTTAAAGAGAGGAATTTCTCTACAAAGGTTGAAGAAGTTGATCCACAAGAAATTGGAGAAACAACCCCACGAAAATGTAGCAACCATCCATTTTCGCTGTCCAACTAGACTCGGAGTTGGGATCAACAACTTCATTGCTGTTGAGTTAAAAGATGATGACGACGTGGAGGTCATGTTTGATGTTCATGATTCAAACTCAAGTCTATGTGGTATTGAAATTTTTGTTTCATTTAAAACTTCTTCTTCTTCATACTCCAACACACAGTCACCAGAAATTTCACCCTTACCCTACCAAGCTTTCCCAAACACTCACCCAGAAATACCCACACATAATGACTATATCCCTTTTACCCAACTTCTAAGTGGCCCTTCCACCAACATCAACGAAGAACTACCCACACAAGAGAACGAAATTGTTGGCCTCCCAATTGAAGTCATTGATCCTTTTAGTGAGGATGAAGACGAAGATGAAATTCTCAGCCAACACCAAGATGATTCAGAGGATGAACAACCACATATCCCTACACATGCACCAAACTTCATGGAACCATACAACCCACCACAACATTTTCTTAACTTTGAAAATCACATTCCACAACAAGACCCAGAGTATGGTCATGCGTTGGACAGAGAGTCTTTTGTTTCTCCGGCAGGAACTCTATTTCTTGGACAACGTTTCATAACAAAAGAACAAGTTCAAGATGTCATCAACCGTTTTCACATTGTCAATCACTGCACATACAAGGTGAAAATTTTAAACCAAAGTAGATATGTTGTTGAATGTGGTGATAACCAATGCAATTGGAGATGTCGAGCAATATTGCGCACAA